TCCCTATTTAGTTTATCAAGTTGTCCTGAATTAAACAATCTGGTTTTTACTTTGTTTGAATTCATAAAAATATTTTTCTTACAGAGCAAAGTCATCAGCCTTGCATCCAACCCCCAACCTTGAGAACTTGGTCTCTGTATTTATGTCCATGAATGACAGGGTGGCCCAGTTAAACCGCCTGGCAGCAAGTTCCCTTTTTCTTGCCTTTCACGAATTGCTGGGCTGCAGTGAAGGTATTCTAACCTACTTCCACATGGGGCATCATCTATCTCAGAGATCACTCATGGGACCATCTTTCTTCACGATACTGCATACTGTTATGCAGCCGACTTTGTCAAGTTCACAATATATTGGGATGAACAGAAACAACCAACATGATATAATTTTTGGTCTCTGAAAACCTCCTACGGGACACCAATTTCAGCCAAACTGTGATGTGCAGCAGAATGTTCATTAAAGTTGTAATGGCAGAGTATGTAACTATATATGAAAGTAACAAGGTCCATCAAGTTTAACAACTTTAGTACGAGAATATAGACTTTACCCTTACATGCTTCAGTCAATACAAAATAGATGCATGTTTCAAAGTTTTACTGTCCTTCAATGTAGTCATCAGCATTGAGTACAACCCATTGCCAGCGATGTGGGAGCCGTAGGATACCTTTAGCCGCGTCTGTTGTGTTGACAGTTTGAATGGAGCGGTCTACTGCCTGAAAAATCTCTGGAACAGTTCTGAAGCGAATGCCAAGAAGTGGTTCCTTCATCTTAGGAATCAAGTTGAAGTCACAAGGGCTGAAGTCTGGGGAGTATGGTGGCTGGTACAGCACTTCCCAGCCACATCGATCGAACAAATCAGTCACAGCTTGTCATTTTTGCATTTCCGTCAAATCATGCGGAACCCATCGTGATGCAATTTTTCTCATGCCCAGGCGTTCCTTCAGAATGTGAAGCACAGTCGTATGTGCTAATCCTGTCTCTCGGGCCAGCTCACGAATCGTATGGCGTCGATCACTCTCCAGTAACGTGGAAAGAGCATACACTTCTTCCTCACTGACACTAGGACGACCTGGCCGACGCACGTCTGCCACATTTTGGCGTCCCTCATTGACGGCTTTTACCCACCTTTGCCACTGTTCTGTAAGGCAATGCAGATTCCCTGCAAGCCTCTTGAAGACCTTGATGACACTGTCATGCTGTACGGCCTCTGGCACATTCAATCTTTATCCAACTCCGTTGTCCCTGTTTCGAAAACATCGTGACGACACTACATTAGACCGCCAGCTAACACGAGGCTCTGTTCTTCTCGTCACTGCGCATGTGCGTGATGAGGGAAGTGAGAGTCCATTTTCTCTGAGGTAAGGCAGGTATGTAACTAACGTGTGTTATAAGTGACATTATTTGGTTCCATTGCATGGCGTCTCTACAGCAGTTTTGCCACTATTAAAGTTCCAACCCTCGTAAAATGTTACAGTAGTCAAAATAAGTTGTTGGGCATGTGGTAGCGTAGTTGGTTGAGGCACTATGCTACAAGCCGGAAGGTCACGGATTCAAGTCCTGATGAGGTCATTGGATCTTTTTCAATTGACCTACTCCTTCCGGCCACACTATGGCCCCAGGGTCTACTCAGCCTCTAACAGAAATGAGTACCAGGAATATTCTTGGGGGTAAAGGCTGGCTGGCGCATAGGGCTGACAACCTTTCCACTATCTATGAGCTGATTGTCTAGAAAATGTGGGAACCTCAACATCTCACAACCCTATGGGCCTCCACAGCCTGTTACAGGAATACTTTTACTTACTTACTTTACTAGTCAAAATAAGTTGTGTATGTTAAAATCATTTAGTTACAGTAAGAAAAAGTAAGTTATAGATCTTGTTGTGTAAGCAGAGGAACATACCAATGGCTTTCCTTTTCTACTATTTCCTATGTAGCATGTCTTACAAATGTTTGTGTTGTTGGCCATGTCTGCCTCTGTGGTGTTATTGTGTGTAATCTGGTGAAGTATGTGGTAGTGTGTGGGCTATGCTGTGGTGGACTTGATGAATCTCACTACTTAATCATGTACGAAGCATTGTAACAGCTCATGATGTCTCTTAGACAGAAATATAAGAAAGACATCCACCATTAAATGACTGAACAGGACATGAATTCCAGCACTTAGACTAAGGCTATCTGGGCCAAATGATCAGTGATCACCCTGAGGCAGGTTTCTATCACAGCTTTCTCGTATGTATATACGTCCTTGAAACCACACCTAGTTACTGTCACTGCTCTGCCAAGATATGTACTCTAATATACACTTAAAGATGTAGACACATAGCATGCCAATGAAAAGAAATTATGCCTTTCATCAGCTCACAAAACGTGATGGCAGTGAAACTGGCCCACTTCTCTCAAAGATGATCCCAGAACTGTCCATAATTCATCTAAGTTATTTCCTATTTCCACCAAGGTCCGACTCACACTAGCAACAAAATTGCTTAACACATATCCCACTGAACAGTATTCAGGAGGTGCTTAGTTTGAATCTCGGTTGGGACACCAGCTGTCATGACTTAAGATTTTTGTACCTTCCGATAGCCTCTCTAGGCAAATACCAAGACAATACCATGATCAGTTTCCTCCAAAACTTTTGCAATTAATTATGCACTTAACATCCTATCATTCTATGTTAAAGTCTGAAATACTGACACCATCACAAAATAAACTACAAAAAAGGCACATTCCACATACTGACCCCATGTAACTTAGTCTGACCTAACCCTCCAATCTCATCTTATAATGTACCCATAGCTCAGGTACTCCTTGCTGAGCAACTAACTTCAAGGAGCTGAACCTTTTTTGAGAAGACATAATCGATAATTAACACACAGGGACACGCAGACTGGAGCTGTGTGCATGGGCACTGGTAATTCCACATTAAGAACATCAGGCAAAACCAAGCCCTGACTAAAGTGGATGATTTGGAATCGAGGAATAATTTTTTAATACATTTCAGAATATAACAAGAAAGCTAATATGACTAAAAATCAACAAAGATGATGAAAGTCATGTCAACAACAAAACTTGAGCTGAAAAACAGCAAAGTGATATCTTATGTAGACAATGATGATACTCTACTGGTAGATTGTGTCTACATGTGGAAACTACAAGAATCAACTGATTTAAAAATATGTATATCGGACTTATCTCATATACTTGGATGTGTATGACTGCATACCACACTGCATATTCTACAACCTTAAAAAAAAAAAGTTAAAGCTATCACTGAAACTGGCCATGGAGGCCCATAGGGTTGTGGGATGTCAAGGCTCCCACAGTTTCTAGACAATAAGCTCACAGATGGCGATGAGGTTGTCAGCCTTACGCGTCGGCTGCTCGATACCCCCAGGAAGATTCCTGGTACTCATTTCTTTTACAGGCCGAGTCAACCCCAGGGCCACAGTGCAGCTGGAAGAAGTGGGTCAATTGGAAAAAATCCACTGACCTCATTGGAATTGAACCCACGACCTTCTGGCTTGTGGCATAGTGCCTCAACCAACTATCCTACTGCAAGCCATCTTCTACAACCTTAAAGCAATTTTATTTGGTCTGCTCATAAGATCCCATTACTGAACCCTACCCCAAGAAAGCTGAAACCAGTCCAAACACTTATCATTGGATCTTCCCACTAAAATTCTGTACAAATTTCTAATCTCTCCCATGCATGTCATCAAAGAGTATATGACAATATTTAATTGAGGTACAACTGTTAAGGTGAATGGACTAAAAATGGTCAGAAGCATCGTCAATTTCTATATAACTCTATGTAACATAATGTGTTTGTGGGGGGGGACCCCTTTCATCACCCCTTCAAAAAGTAGTACATATTAAATATTATCCTTTCTCTAATATGGAAAACAAAACTTTGAGAGGAAAATGAATTGTATGTCAAAATGATACCGAGACATGTGTTTAACATCTGTATACTGAGTCCACTGAAACTGGTTCTTACTGATTTGGAATCATATCTACGACCCACGTTGCATACATAACTTTCTTGTCTCTTCATATTCATAATGAACAACATACACAATCTTCTGCAACAATTTATTTAATCAATGAAGTAATCAATTTCTTCCCTAAACAGTTGATACCATTCTAAAACTTTCCTCTTTTCATACAACTCAAATGTTCATCATGTTCACAAATTCCTACCCAGGGTAACATAAGTTCAGGGGCAAAGTACAAGTAATGACACTGATACAAAAAATGGTATACCAAAGTTGACATGCTAAATGTTCTGTGGGTCACCAATGATGTCTGGGTCAAATCAATCATGTCAGATATGGACTGCATGTGTTACTCAACACCCTTATTTAAAAACGAGTACTAATACTGTCATCATGTTAAAATGTGACATGAATGACTTGCGTTTAATGTTACACATATTTTGAGTTCTACTCAGTCCCATTAACTTCATAAGAAGATGATTACTTTTCTCTGCAGAATCGTGCACTTACAAGCTTTTTTTTTTTTGACTAAGGTTCTCACAGCGGTTGTTATGAAGAATACTTTCATCGGTCTACACGGCGTTATATCACACAAGATAGTACTCTTCTGGTCTAAATCATCAGATCTATGTTCACAATCGCGCCTTTCCTTTTGAACCAGGTGAATAAAACTCATGCCACTTTGGCGATGTTATTAGAACCTAACCTCTATAATCCTTCATTACCTCAATCCATGCGAACTCCCAATTTCGTTTAAGCACCGCATAGCAGCCGTACAAAACAATGCCAACGTAATTACAGTGAAACAATATACTTTCTGCAAGCATTTTTTTACCCTGTACTTGTCAGAGCTCACTGGCAAAACCAGTGACGCTTTTCAACATCCGTCATAGGGCCTTAACCACTTTGAAACGCTATCACCAAACGTCATTCGGAATGGCAGACATCCAGAAGGACAGCTTACACCTAGTATTTCATGAAACACGTATTATAATTTCAAAATATTACCTCTCCACTTTCGGCTGCCGGTGAGTTCTCTGTGATTTCATAGATGATGGGTGGTAATCCAGCTGTTCCAAGTAGAGAGAATCCTAAACCACAAGTCTCACTTCGCTTTAAAACAACCTTCACTTCTTCCACCATGTTGAACTTACTGGCGCATTGCTTTGATGATACACAGATTGTACATCCAACTCTTTTGAAAGGTTTGAAAGCATAGCCTTCCACTGATAATGTAACAAATTTTCAACAGATGTCGATAAAATGTACATAAGTTGGCCGTTAGGTAGCGTTTTGAGCCGGCCGTTGGAAACGTAGGAATGATCAACTTTGAACGACTTTGTGTATCACATCATAGCACTTCCTAATCAATAGAAATCATCAGTACAATTACCGGGTTTTTCGACAGTATTCACCGTTCTGGTTTTTACTTAGTTATCATCATCAGAACAGCTACTAGGCAAATGCAAAATTACGAGTCATTCCTGCTCCATGCGGTGATTTATTCGTACAACTATTGGTGGACCTGATCAGTTCGGTACCAAAAATACAATCTGTAACATTTAAATAATTTGTATTCAAATATTTGGAAGATAGTATATTCACTTTAAGCTTCAAATATCTATTATTTTATTTTATCAATTTTTTATTATTTATTTGTGAATTGTTTTTTATTGGACATGGTCCGAATCCCGTAGTGAAGGATCAAGATGGAGCCGATCTCACAAGTTGTTAAAGTTACTCTTCCTAATTATTTGTCAGGTTTACCTATTCCTGATTCATTTAGTGGTTGGTTTAAACTCGGAGGTACGTGAAACTAGTTTATTTACTTGAATTTGTGTTCCAGTATATTTTGAACACAGTAAGCATGTTCATTCCTCTTGAGCAAGCGTATACAGCATGTGCAACATTTTATGTATTTACTAGAACTGGCCTTAAATTCAACAATTAAAACTGTATCTCTTTAAATACATATATACGTCTCATTTTCAGTTCGAGACTGGGTGTCTCTTGTTCCTTTTGGAGCTGCTGTAGCGGGAATAACGTACATGTCCTATATAGCGTTTTGTCCAAAAGCGAAAGGATTCTATTCAAAGGTAAAAAAATAAGGAACGTGTATACATTTCTTATGGAATAGTATGCCTTAGTTAAAGCTGTTTTCCGCAAGCCTTCGTTTCTTGATTTAATTTTCATTTGTAAATTCTTGAATGGGGATTTGTGTATTAGAAAAGTTAGTGCACATCAACATAAAATGATATGGAATGTATCCATATGAGCCACGGTGACAAGCGTAGTTAACGACATTCTTTCCTTGGAATGTATCAACTGTTAACAGTACCGGTAAATAATTGGTGAATTTTGTTGCACCTAAGTAAAATACTAAAGTAATAAAAATTATTGATTTTGTAGTCTCATACTTTAGCACTAATGTAATGCAGTAAAGGTTAAAATGTAATTTTCGGCAAATTTAAGACCACGAATGTCATATTTGCCCTTGTTACCATATTCTGAATCTGCCAGATAACATTTATGTCGAATCTAGATATGACAAATGGTTAATCAGTAACAATGCTGTTTTAGAAGACCATATAAATAAAGTAAGTGATCACCTCTGTCTTCCTGCACATCATCATGTCAAGGACTGCAACCTTATGTACCTATCTGTGACATTTAGAATTTATTATAACTTATTCCAGCTCTTTATTTTTGGCAGAAAGTATTCTTAACACCCATTGTGAATTCAGTGGGAAGCCTACCATTTATTGTAAAATCGTTTCGTACTATTAACTTATTCTGTTTCTCCATACATTCCTTTCCAGACCAACATGATATCAAGTGATACACCAAGACATGTTTAACCGCTTTCCCATGAATAGCACACAAGTAGTCCATCATAAACCACGTCCTTCATACAGTATACTACAATTCACATATCCGCATCAAAATGTTATCAGTACTTACAGAACGGACACAGCCCATTAAAACAAAAGATTGTTCGTCATTTGTGACCTACTGTGTAAAGTATGTTCATGCAGAATGTTGACATTTAACAATTCATTGGCATGGTAACCGAAAATTGTGTAGTAATAGTGAATCTCATGCAATCAAAACTTTTGTATGCAGAAGGATTGTATGTAATATTTGAGGTTTTCACAGCGGTGACTGAAGAATGCTGTCTTCTGGGATGTGGCGCTATGTAGACATTGTGTTAACCGACGTTTCTCCAAAACATCAGTTTACACAATATCTACACAGTGTCACATCCCAGAAGGTGGAATTTTTTCAAGGATTATATGCTTTGATAATTCCAATTGACTGTGAGCTTTTACTGTCACTGTATAATGTCTGTGGTGTGGAAGCTATGGACAGGAATGAATATTTCTCCAAAGATGCTTTAACTGGTTATCATAACAGATTGTGAAGGGTGTATATGAATTTACAGTAGAACAGAAACAAGAAAAATAAATGTATTACATTCCATAGATCCTTCATAGTATTAAACGAAGCAAAAAACTGGGTGTGATGCATTTCCATTAGGATTTCGCTTGCTAGTTACATTAATTCAGATCAACTTTAACTAAAGTTAAAGCACCATCTCTTCATCACAGCAACAAATTATACAACGTACTGGACCTAGGCAATCCAGTTTTTAAAAGAACCACTTAATTTTATCCTGATTTTAAAAGCATCAGTTGGATGGAAAAGTAGGGCGGCTTATATTTTAGCAAATACAGTAGTTATATAAATACAAACCACTCCGTCCGATGTGACCTATAAGTTTTTACTACATTAAAACTTATCTCCCTTACATGTTTCGGTCCTTATGGGCCATCTTCAGAGGGAACATCATTACAAACTGGAAAATACCATCACAATAGGTGTTTTCATTTAAAATACATACACTTATATCCTATAATGCACAGTACGCTTAAAGTCGAACGTTTCACAATCACAGCAGCTTCCTGGTGTTGTAAAGGTTTTAAAAGTTTCTAGATGTTATTTAAAAAAAACTTTATTGTCAATAGTTAAAATTTTTTAAACCATGTAGGTTCGTGTCCGTACTCCTATCGTCCTTCTTGTATGGGGCAGATTTTGTGCTGCCTGTCTATCTTGACGAGGAGGTTCTTGATGTCGTCCAGGGTTTGTTTGTGGCTTGCTGTGTTGTTTTCAGTGTATTTATAATTGTTAGTGTGACAGACCAGAATGAAACAAAAAAAAACAATAGTTATAGTTATTAACTCACATATTGTAAAAGGTAAAGGTATCCCTGTAATAGGCTGTGGAGGCCCATAGGGTTGTGAGATGTTGAGGCTTCCACATTTTGTCTGGACAGTCGTCTTACAGATGGCGGTGAGGTTATCAGCCCTACGTGTCAGCCACCCTTTACCCCAAGAAATATTCCTGGTACTTATTTCTGTTAGAGGCTGAGTCAACCGCAGGGTCATAGTGTGGCTGGAAGGATTAGGTAAATTGAAAAATCCACCTCATTGGGATTTGATCCCACCACCTTCCGGCTTGTCGCATAGTGCCTCATAATTACTGTGAGGTGAAATCTGTAATGGCAATACTTTTTAAATGTAGAGGGTGTATGTAAAAAGTATATTTAACTTTCTTTACAGAAACCTTCTAAGTCACTAATAAACCTAGATATTCAGAAGGAGGATGCAAAGGTAGTTCACAGTTTTGATGTTGAAGACATTGGAGAAAAGGCTGCCTTTTGTCGTTGTTGGAGAAGCAAAAAGGTATAAAACATCGTTATTTTGTATGCATCTTTAACACTTGTATAAATATGCCATTAACTGCCAGCGCCTCTGCTGCTGGCATGCCTCCCAGCCCGGTCATTTTTCACAGTACACTGGCAGATTGCAGTATATCACTGTAAATAAGTGAATAAACAAGCTGCATACATCTGTGCACCATCTGGTGACAGAGGAAGGAACTGTATGCTCAAAGTGTATTCTGAAAGAGAAATATTTTCTCTTGTCATGGCATGTAACTATCCAGCCTTGGTTGGGTATGGTAATATGAAGAAAACACCAGTAAATGACCATCAACTAAGGGAATGAAATAATTGAGATATCATGCCGTGAGATTTTATCCTGACAATGGTATTCTTTCAACTGCGTCTGTGGTCTAGTGGTCAGAGTTCCTGACTACAGATCCAGAGGTCCCAGGTTCGATTACTGGCACTACCAGATTTTCTGAGAAGTAGTGGGTCTGGAACAGGGTCTGCTCAGCCTCATGAGGATAATTGAGCAGCTACTTGAATGGAAAAGTAGCGGCTCCGGTCTAGAAAACCGAAATTAATGGCTGTGGGGATCCGTTACGCTGACCACGTGACACCCTCTATGCGCTAAAGTTGGCACTAACTTCACCAACAAGCAGCGGTTGCTCGATCAGTATAGTTCGTTTGTGGACTAAAGCCACGGACTTTTTATGGTATTCTTTAAATCCTTAATTTAAAAGAAAATTGACTGCATGCTATGAGAACTTCCGTGGTGTAAGCAAGTCTAGCATATTATTAATATGTGTTATGTTTTTTAATGCAAACTTTGTAAGGTATTTTTTTTAAATAGAAAATAATAGCATGATGACTAAGCCTAATACTATCCAAAAGTGCAGCAGCATAGATGCCTTCACTTGCATCTGTCCTAAACCATTTGAATCCAGATCACATCTGTACAAACCGAGTTTCCAAAAATGAATTTTAGATCTGTCCTATGTATATTTTACCTGTTCATGAGGTGTTCTAGCCATCATTTTGTTTGTATTTATCATTTCTATATTATCCTACAGTCCAAAACTTCATTAGTTATTTACTATAACATCATAAGAGAAGAAAAGTAATGAAAACATGCATTTCATAATTTTCTCTATTCACATTAAATAAATTCTATTCAATTTCCTAGTGTTCCCATTATTTTGTCCGCACCAAACATTGAAATAGTTCAGTGCAGTGTTGATTGCATGGCCTTGAAGTGCATACCAGATGTTTCAGTCATGGTTAAACAAATTGATAACATGATTAGCATGAGTTTGCGGTGAGTTTGTATAATACTAGTTCATGTATTTTCAAGGTACTTTCCATATAAAGAAATATATGTAATTGTTACAATATTTGTTTTCCAGTTCCCATATTGTGATGGTGCTCATGGTGCACACAATAAAGAAACTGGTGATAATATAGGACCAGTCTGTATTCAACGCAAAAAGAACTAGAGAAGATAAAAGATGCTTACTGCCAAGTTTGATTATTAACATGCTGTGGTTATGGTTTACACGTCATAGTTCCGTCTGTTTTAGATTACAAAGGTGATAGTAAAAGCCCGTTAGTTTTGATTTGTATTCAGGTAGAAGAGAACTCTTTGAATCAGGTGCCTGGAAATGAGAAAACTTGTATTATTTGTTGTCCCTTTAAATATGAAGGCTGCTTGGGTGTAAATGCAGTTGCACTGAAAACACTACAGCACTTTCCTTAAATTATCTTAAACCACAATTGAAATATTTCACATGAAAGTTCAGTCTATTCTCTAAACATCAGTGTGTCATACTTGATGTCATGTTTTGACAGAAATGCTATACTGGTTGATTAACAAGTGTCAGTCTCTTTAGCTGTGGAAGTCCGAATGCAAGGAAAGTACTCCACACACTACCTAGTTATGTGGCGCAGAGAGAGTTAAATATATATCATAGCTCATCTTCAGTATTTGTAGTGTGGTTCTTGTCTTTAAGAGTCATGTGACAGATATGGTACTGTCTTTCATGTGTCCCTCTCCCCCATTTTGTCTTAATTTTCCTTTAGAATAGAATTTGTAATAGTGCTTAAGACAGGTGGGTGATTGTAGTTTATGGATTGTTAAAAAGAATATACATTTATATAGATGAAAAGTGATGTAACACACTGTACAGGGTTATTCATAAGTCCTTGAAACATTTTAAAAATTCATAACAAATAAACTATGCATCGGATCATGGTAATTCTTACACAGATAGAGAATGAATCTCTTCAAGTTTTTTAAAAGCCACCATTGCCTGCTAATCTCAGGGATCTTCACAACCGTATCACCGCTGCTGTGGCTCTGGTCAACCGTGATACGCTGACACGGGTGTGGGATGAAATGGATTATCGCATAGATGTCTGCCGTATCAGCAAAGGTGGACACATCGAGCATCTGTGAACTATGTAAAGAAAACTTGGTGATTTTATCTCTATTTTAGTGTAATAAAATTTGGTATCCCTTTCGTAGTTTATTTATTGTTAAATATTCAAAATGTTTCACAGACTTATGAATAACCCTGTACAATACTTATAAATTTTGTATACCATTCTGTAATTGTATTTTCATTGATTGATTTTAATCCTATTGGAGTGTGGTATCATGAATCACCATATGATTATAATTATGTAAGCATATAAGGTAAAGTTGTCCCTGTGCTTAACTAATTAAGCGCTGTGCCATGAAGGTGTATAATAATCATAACTAACTTCAGATCATTTGTACTTTTAAATTACTTTCTCTGGGCGTATCCATTGTAGTAAAGCGACAGAAATATGAACATTCACCACTCATACTAAAGGTCTGCCTTCATGGAAATGATGCTTAAGCACAAAGGTGTTCTCACGTTTACTTTACTTTATCTTGGTTATGGTCATTACCCTGTGATTTAAATAGGGAAAGAGGTGCAACAAATCACTGGAATGTGTAATTTTGTTATACTGTGTTACAGAAATAAAAATAAAATCTTATTGAGATATAATTATATTGCACTTAACCCATTTCCATGGCCATGCCATAGCTCAGATCATTTCTTGGATTTGTGGTTGACAGAGTGACAAGGGGCAGGTTTTTCTGTGTGAACTTTGGTTCATTCCTGCCAGCCATGATTCCACCAATGCTGTATACTCCTCTGTCATCTCTGACTGGTACTGTAAGTCAGTCTCACCCAATTCCAACTAAGTAGCTATCATTACCATATTCATTGTCCTTCCATTCATATGGAGCAGGCTGGTGGATTGAATCTGTAACAGGTTACTCATTGTCTGGCTAAGGCTTGTCACATTTTTCCATGATCTGTTAAGATGATGGCCACAGCAGCATCCTCCCAATCATCATAAACATTTTCCCATCTGACTCATGTCTATATAACTTGAGGTTGAAGTAGCATTATTAAGTAACACAATAATTCATTCTCATTGAATGAAATTAAATAGCCAATTTAATTTCATATTGTCTATGAAGTGGGTGTAAACATGGCTGAGAAGTGGGCGCAGCAAGTAAAAAGCTCAATTTTCAGTGTACAGCGACGTCCGATTCTAATGATATTGTATAGTTTCTCAGACTTCAAGTTAAATGATATAACAATATTGTGTTCATAAAAAAATTAATTTTAATTCGTCAGAGTAATTTGTAGCTTATTTTTCTGGATGGTATTTATACAAGATGATTAAAAATCAGCCTTTAAGTCTTATGCATAGTTAAATGAAAGTTTTTCTTCATCCATGAAATTCCAGAACACCTTGGATGAAGATTTCCGTCCATGAGGGTGGTTGAAGGTTGAGTTGAACATGTCTTTTTAACCAAGAGACTATATATGCATGAACCACCAAACTGTCACTCCTTTCCAAGATATTTTCCCTTGACATAACATAGTTTTTGCATCATCCTTGCAAGTTACAGATGTCATCAGAATAGAAGGTATTCTTCACTGTGTAGCCAGTGCAGGACATTTTGCTGAATTTGTCATCAGTTTGAAATTTCTGCCCTGTTAAGTGCACCTTCATTGGCACAAACAAATGAAAATCACTGGCATTGAAGTCAGGGCTGTGAGGAGGGTGGTTCATGATTTTCTAGCCCATTGTTGTCAGAGTTTCCTCTGTCAAATTCCTATATGTGGATGAGCATCATCATGCAGCAGGATGATCTTTGAGAGTTTCCCAGCTCTTCCACTAAATAATTTCATGCACATCATTATGAAGCAAATTATTATAATACTATGGATTAATTGTTATGCCATATGGAAGAAAATAAATATGAATGGCTCCTGTTGAATCCCAGAACACACTTCCCATGAACTTGCTGGCAGTTAGCTGTGTCTTGAATTTGTGGCTTTCAGAGAACTTATTGTTGCCAGTCATAGACACTTGCCCATGATAGGATCTCTTCCCCATACATAACCTACAAAGAATTTCTACTGGTTTCACTTTATCTGTGAGTTAGAGACCACATTAATGATAGGGGGATCCAGATAGGATAAATGTCCAAACTGGGTTGGCTGATTGGATTGGCTAATCATGCCATATGGACCAATCCTTGTATATCCTAAATAGATGCAGTTTCTAAATGTATTGTCTGGTTTTCAGATTACTGGACAATGGCCAAAGTCCAAAAACCTAATAATTCTGTCAACCAAATAGTTTGCTTATACAATGATTCACATGTGTCTGACAAATACCTGGTGTAAGAGGCCATTGCTGGATGTGCAGTTTGTGGTCTTCTTCAGTCTTTCCAGGCAGTTGGCTGTAGTGGGAGAGAATCGTCTTGTAGGAATCACAATCCATGACCTTTTGCTCCCTAGTTCATACAGTGGTGCTCCAAATTGACTGTTGAAAGATCCTGTAATCCTATAGTTGCTATAAATGTGATAATTAGTTTGACCATCATCACAAGTTTTTTCAAACATCTTGGAAACAGGATGTTTCCATCATCACAAGTTTTTCAAATACAGTGTTTTAGAAACTGGATCTCTTTCCATCTCCAGGTGTGCAGGAGGAAACGTTTCTACTTTGTTGAGTCAATCAGAAAGAGCTAGTCATAATTGCCATGCCTAGAGCACTTGAATAGGAATCATTTTCCCCTTGTGCATGATGATAGAAACAGATTCAGTTTTTAAATGTCTTTGATAAAACTCAAGACAATTGACAATGTCCAAAGTGGTAATCATGTTCATTGTTAACACACCATCAGTAGAAACATTTACTTATACTTAACTGGCTTCAATGCTTATCAGTTGTACAGACTGATGATTTTTAAGAAGAAAGAAATGTTTTCAAGATTGACCTAAATGGCTGATCTGTTGCATACACAGCATAAATATGTGAAGTCATAAGAACAACAAATGATGAATGTACCAACTAACTGTAATATGTTTTTGCTTGTTTGATTTTAATTCTTATATAATGAATTTTACCAATACAGTTTCATTAAATTCCTTCAAGTGCTAGTTCAAAAAGGTTCTGGGTTGATAACCTGGCAGGAAATCATCAGTGACTGTACATATATGCAATACACAACTGAAATTGGTGACTGAACTGTCATCTGAGACCATAACCCATTATAAGAATGAGAGCATTAATAAACAGAAGAACTATGCGCAAACATTAACTGCTTTACCATTCTTTAATCTTACTTTCTTATACTTCAGTGCATACAACATGAATCTGTTTGTCTTTTACCAAAATTTATTAGAGTAACCAGCTTATCTCTTTACTGCAGTTAATTTTAGAATCTCATCTATTGGTCTGTTGGCTTAAAGGTCTTGAATATATTCTCTCCATACATGGTAACTTATTTTTGTTCATCTTCAATCAGTATAAATCATCTTACATGAATTAAATATTATTTACAAGAGTTGAAGAACTTAATGCAAAGAAACATTATATCTCTGAGTTATTTATTGAATACTTTGGTAGAACTTCAGGCACAGGTGAAAGTTTTGTGCCATTTGTATAATTTATCATAATTTTCTTTCTTAGTAAAGTATACCCTCAACAGTGTTACGTAGCAGTGCTTAAATATCTGGGGAAAATAGGCTGCAGAATTCACATACATACTTAGCAATTACCGTAGTCAACACCTGGTTACTCATAAATATATCTGTTCAGTAAAACTGTGTGCTGACTACACACCTGCAATCCTAACCCTATCCCTTTTTTGATCGATTTACTGGGTGCAACTTGAACTGTTTCAGGTATTGAGATAGAGGTGGTATGCATGAATGTGGCAGTAAACTCGGGAACTGGAAATATGGGTGGGTGAATGTCGATTCTCAGGGAACTCAGCAATTAATTATCGAAGAACTTATTAATATAGTGCACTATTAATTAAACTAAACTGTGCTATGGTCAGCCAGCCACATACCTTCAAGGAGCAGGCACCAAACGCCACCAAACCATTCGGAGCTGTGTCTTTTCAGTGGCTTCAGCGGAGATGTTGCCTGTCAATCTGATGCTACAAAAAATTTGCTCCAACCCCTCATGTGGTTCATATTATGTTTTAAGGTGTCAGCTTGGAAGCCTTCTCCAGGAAACTAATGCTGTGACATTACTGTCAAACATTTGACTAGCTCTCCCCAGCGAACTCAAGAAAATTCCTGAAGAAACATGTATATAACTGTATAATACTGCAGTACACTGTTGCAATATCTCATGTCATTCGTGATTAACATAAACGCAAATTTAAATTTTGATCAATTAAACATTAGTATCAATTAACAGCTTCCATCTAATTTCAAGATAGCACAAAATATTGCCATCAGTAATAGGAAGTAACTTCATTCCAGTACCAAAGAAAATAAATACAATTCTTTTCCATCAGCTTTATAGAACACCGTTTCAGCACACACTACTAGAAATAGTTTTCCTTTACACATTTAATAGAAATTTCCTCAGGCACAAGTAATATTTATATCAGGAACATGTGTTTTTTTTAGTTAGCATCACACAATTTGTAACACACATGTAACTTCACATTGTTACAAGTAAGCAACCTTCAATTCCATGCCATTACTAATTAAAACAAGTGCCGTCTCAAAGTTGCAGGACATACTCTATATTTTAATGTTACATACAGGCATATATACGAGTATAACCAAACCTTGTTTCCATGCACTTGTTAGATTTTGGCTGATATAGTAATGCTTCCAACTTTTATTCAGGAGGTGCCTGGATCAAGTCTTAACCCATACACAGACAGTCCTGAGGCTTTCATTGTTTTCCTCAGTCCCTCCAGGCAAATTCCATGATTTTACCATGTATTAGACTATGACCGCTTCCTTCCACATCATTTCAAATTTATTATTCACTGTAATCCTATCATGCGACACTATACAGTCTGGGATATTGAGAGCGTTGTTAAATAAACTACAAAAGAAAGACACTGTGTCATTACAAATTTCATTATGATAAATTTTAACCTATGTCTTGTCCTCCCATATATGCCTAGGTCTTCCAAATGCAGTTTCCTTCACTTCCTGATTACAATTTTATATGCATTCCACACATATCAAATTCTTTGTTATTTGATCATTAATAATGTTTGGCAAAAGGCACACATTATAAAGCTTCTAATTAAGCAATTTCTCCAATCTCCTATTCCTTCCTCTCTCTTATATTCTCCTCCACATCCTGTTCTCAGAAATCCTTATCCTATCATATTATACTGAAGTAAATATTTTGACATTATGTACAATAATACAGGCATACTATGTATTATAAATGTGAATCATATGTTTGGACTGTATCTTTTCATTTAGTTCCATAATATATTTTAATGCTATATATACTGTTACAGTTTTATTAATTGAAAATTTTGTTAGGATATGATAACTTTTTCCACTTAAAAGTCAGTAATAAGATTACTAAAAATTAAACCACCGACAATAACAAATAGCCATTTATTTATAAATTACATCTTCAGATACATGTTCCATGGAGCATTGTGTCTGCAGGCTTCTGAAGTATACTGGCTGTCTTTATATTCTTATTATTTACTGAGTGCTGGTATTGCTGGTTCTCTTAGGTACTTTCTGTGGATGTAATTTAAATGCTAAAAATATTTTTGTCTTTTGTTTCTATTATAACTTAATTACATGTAAATAAGTACCTGGTGCTGCTTTTAACTATTTGGAGCTTTACGTGGTTGACCAGTTTTGTTGCTTCAACATCTAGTCATCCTATGTAAGGTTTTCTTTAATTTCTGATATCATGTATACTCCTGATTCTTTACCAAAATAAGAATATCGATGGAAGGAAGGGCTCAGGTAATGAACTAGGATGATGGAGCCACATAGCTAGTGGTAATGTGGTTGTGACTCAATACAGCTGAAGTCTTCTCTCTACTTTTTATATAAACTGGTCACTTAAAAGTTTTATTAGTAAAAGAAAAGTAAAGCTATCCCTGTAACAGGCCATGGAGACCCATATGGTTGTGAGACATCAAGGCTCCCACATTTTCTAGACAGTCATCTCAGATGGTGGTGAGGTTGTCAGCCTTACGCACCAACCATTCCTTACTCCCAGGAAGATTCCTGTTACTCATTTCTGTTAGAGGCTTCTAATTACAAGTTTGTTGTTTTAAATCAAAACAAAAAAATCGCAATGTACCATATTATTAAGTGCTCTGACATCTGAGAAATCATACAAGGCAATTAAATAGTGTAAGAAACTTTAGATAGCTGGCATTAATACTAGAGCCATGGTGCACCTAATGTGCTTTCAGAGAACATAGTTAACAAGAGAATACAAACACAATGGTTCTCTTCCTGCAGCAGCAGTGCCTTATGACCAAGTCAGCAAACTTAAGCCCCTGAGATGTGACATGCCTCATGGCTTGGTATTTACAAATATATATGAAACAGGAGATGGTTTATATCTGTACATGTGTGTATGTTAGGCCTTTCTCCCACTGTAGTACTTGTCATGTGTGGTGCGCATGCACACACACAGTGATCATCTGAGAATCTCCTGAAAATCATTCAGGAAGTCAGATGCATGCAGCTCAGTAATGTGCAGCAAGCCCTCAGACAATGACATTTTAAATAACAGGAGATGGTTTATGGCCTGATATGTATGTGTGTTATCTATGCACATTTATTATGTCATTCTCACACCGTAGTACTTTTTGGTGATAACTGTGTGTCTGAAACTGTACCACCTGAAGAATAGCCATATAATGGAGCAAGGATGAGACAAGACAAGAGTTTGAAAGGAATAAAGGAAGTGAAGAAAAGGAGTGACAGATAAAGATATAAAATAAAAGATTTCTGCTGAATTTCAATGGGAAATATTCTTCTGAGTCAAGATATTTTACCTTCAAATGTGCCTGATATTCAGGTCATATTAGTTCAAAATAGGTTAATTTATCTCAACCTGGGAAAGTTCTGTTGCACCAGTTACATACACTGTCCTATATACACATTGTTCTGATTTGTATCATTTCATTGTAGGAACAGCAAAAAGAATAAATTTTAACAAAATTTCTGAGCAATAATGCAGCTGAGCATTGATATCCTGTTCATAATTTCATTTCAGAGTATGTCTGGGACTGAAACATCACTTTTTTCATTTTAAACGGTTTTGCTCAGCAGGTGAAGTAATACAAATATGATGAAGACTATGCTTATAGTGTACTACCAAGGGGAGAAAAATGTAGATCTTCAGGTACTTTATAAAAATCTTATCATCATCCGTCCAATAATTAGACATAATTTGTCTGTTATGGAAATTACAAAACAGTATCTTTCCATTGTTTTATAGGTATTTTTAAGAATATTCCTCCCCGTTCACTGTTTCCTATTATGTTAAGGAAATTACCAAATTTTCCGTTCATACAACACACTGTTATAAATTTCATCTCAAATATTTTATAAAAACTATCATTAGGAAATGATTAATTCTGTCATTGGTTCTTCATTTCATTTATGATTATAAAGGACTTAACCTTCTGTTCATCTCATGAAACGTATTTAAGATATTATTAACATATTGGTCTGCATAAACACAAATATGCTTACCACCTGCATACTTTGATTATTCTACAAGATGCAAAAGTAATTCACAGCTTTCTCTGTATGAAAAATGAAATATCGAGCATTTCCTCAAGATTACATATAATTTATAATTTTTTCTTTGAGCTTCTAATCTCCTCCACAAAAGCAGCCAGGTTTTGAAAATTAAATAGTTAATTCCAGAAAAATGATAGGGACAAAAATAATAAACCAAAGGATTTATCTTCTGTCATCAGTCATTATGTACTGCCATTGATAATGTTAGTTTGTTAAGGACTTTATGGAATTCAGTTCTCATATTTTAAGATATATAATGTTATAAATAACATTTTCAAGATTTGGTCAATTTTTCATAACTTAATGTCATGTAAGAGGAAGTATGTATAATTTTCAAACTGTGCACTGGGCAAGAATTCGCCTAGCTACAACTCTGAAAACAAATTCTCTACAGACTGTTAATTACAACCCTCGTATCTCTATTATACTGTTTTGTATTACAGATAATAAAGTAAAGCTGTCCCTGTGCTTAATTAATTAAGCACCACGCCATGATGGCGTATGAGGGAGTGGATGTATAGAATTACATTTCCTTAACCTTGGCACTAGTTGGAGGTAAGTGGTCAGCTTCACGCCCCGGCCGCTTAACCCCCAGGGAAAGAGCCCCTGGTATCAATTGGATGGGAGGTTGGGAGGACACCAGATCCAGCCTGGACAACATGGAGAAGTGAAAATTCTCCCCCCCCCACCAGGACTCCAACTCCGACCCCTTGGCCATCCAGCCCGTAGCAAGTTGCTATACTGACTACACTATCATATCCACCCTCAAATGAAACAATGTCCTAGTATAGGGTTGGGGAAAAATGATTTGTAGGCTACTCACACAATTTTAGGTTTCACATGGGCAGGGAACAAAAAAAAGTCCTCTGATTCGGAATCATGATCACTGGAGAACTACAAATGCTACACATTTCGTGAAAGTGTTTTAAAATATCTTCAGTGGTCCTTGATATATATGAACTTTACAAATTCCAGTCCCTTTCAAAGTTGAATTAGCCACAGTCTGCCCACCCCTTACTAATGTAATATAAGATTATTAATTTTTATATACTACATCCATATATATACAATATTATTATATATAGTATTCTTGTGCCACTCTGTAATGCTGAACTGAAACCTATGGAGGGAATAATTGCCTTTTAATATATATCAGATCACTAATTTCTATGTGCCACTTGATATGTGGAGTATTATGAAGTTAGAAAAAAAAAAAGGAGAGGGAGGGGGGAGGAGAATTTCAAACAGTGTCTTCAAAGTGAGGGGATGTGATAAAATAATCTGATAAAATCGCATTCAGTTTCACTTCATCTCATATCACAGATAAAAATAAAATATAAGGGCTTAACACTATTCTACTGGTGCTTCATACAGAACGCAAGAATTGTTTTTGGAGATTTCACTGCATTGTTCCAGTTAGAATTCTTCTCCCGACGATGAATGTACATAGTACCACTGCTGGACCCCGATGTGTCAATGTCAGAGCTGAAGAAATAAGCATACAAATCTTGTAATTGTTCAATACTGTTAAAAGTAATGAGTGATCTGTAGCTTTTAGTTTCAAATACTTTTTATTTTCCAAATGATTCCTGCACCAATATTATTTAGTACATTATTATTAAAAAAATAATAAAAATATTTCTGTTTTCTATAATCTTCATTATAACATGGATTTCTGTAATATTACTATATGAAGAGAGGACCTGTTTTTCAAGCAGAAGCTAATCAAAGTTGTGTTCATCTATGAAATTAGAATAATGTAAATTTACATACCTCAAAATTCTTCAAATCATTTGTGTCATAAAAATCATCCTCATTCACAAGCATCTCACGATTGCCGTATCGTTTCCTGAAACAATAACAATCGTCAGAATTATTGGATTTTTGGACTTTGTTCATCGTCCAGTATTCTAGAAACTATAAAACACAATGTTTTGGAAAATGGATCTGTTTCTGTCCTCATGTGAAGGGGAAGACACCTACTCAGTTGGGTCCCTTAGAAAGAGCTAACCTCAATATACTAAGGGACCCAACTGAGTAGGTTTCTTCGTCTTTCACCCTCACCTGAGAACAGAAACAGATCCAGTTTCCAAAACGTTGTGTTTTTCTTGTTTCTAGAATACCGGATGACGGACAAAGTCCAAAAACCCAGTAACTCTGAGTTTCATGCACCATTGTCAGAACCCACTAGAATATAATAACAATGGTGTATACTTTAATTTATTAGACTGGAGTTTCTGACACTGATGACTATGTATCTTCTTGGATGTAACACTGTATTCTTCAATAGCAGTTTACCAACATCTCAGAGGAACTTACCATTTCCATCTTCAGTGTCAAAGAAACTAGCATAAAGCAGGTGGTAAGTAGTGGCAAGTAGAATGAACCACATTTAGAAAACTGGGTTATCTTTCTTTAGCTCATATGTTTCTCTCTGAGCCCCTTACAGATAAGGATTGTATTCCATTGTAGTGTTTTTCTGGTCTATATCAGACCTTGTTTTCTAAATATGGTTCACTCTGCTTATCCCCTGGTTGGCTTGCTCTTCAACCTTGAATATGGAGGCAATACATTCATTCAAAACTTCGCTGAACCTCTACTCAATTATGCAGTGTTGCATCTCTACCTTGTACTCCACAACAAAGTTTATACATCAGGGCAGAGATGCCACACTAAGCCAAACTCATGATTCAAATTCAAAATTACAATCTAATCTACTTAGCATACTGGTAAGCATTTCCTTCTCAGTTTTACTGCGTATTCATTCCTGAAACTATCAACAGTCTTCTTTCAAAATTTATGTAACCTCCTTCACTTAATCGCTCTAATAATACTAAGGCAATAGTAAATGTATGACTATAATTTAGCATTCTAAATACTATAACTAAAAGTTCTCTATACTTACTCTAGCACTCTCCTCCAGACAAGAAGGCCAATGTATCCAATTAATGCTATCCCAACGAACACACCAGCAAATATTGCTGCTGACTCTGTGGGCTGCAGAAATGCTGATGACTTTCCTGGTGATGGATGTGAATGATCAGCATGCTGCTGTGATGCTGCCAGAGCAATTACTGTGTCTTCTTCAGCTTTGTGATCAATCACGTTCTCTGAAATATTTACTGAAGTTGTGGATTCAGCTTTCAGTGTTGATTGCAGGGTTGTGGTTGTTGACTGCTGAACAGGCAGTGTGAATGTAGATTTTATAACAGATATTTCTTCAGTAATTGAAGACAATGATTCAGTTTTAGCTGCTGTTTCATCCTTGACTGTTGTGTTTGATTCTGTTTTGTCTGTTGTTTCATTCTTGACTGCTGTGTTTGATTTCGTTTGGTCTGTTGTTTCATCCTTGACTGTTGTGTTTAATTTCGTTTTGTCTGTTGTTTCGTCCTTTACTGTTGTGTTTGATTCAGATTTTGCTATTGTTTCATCCTTGATTGTTGTACTTGATACAGGTTTTATCGTTGTTTCAGCTTGAACTGATATATTTAATTCGGTTTTTGTTAGCGTTTCATCCTTTATTGTTCTGTTATCAGACTTGGGTTTAAGGTTCTTTTCTTTGTTCTTTTCAGAAATTAAATAATTTTTCTTACCATCTTTCACAGCAATTTTTGTATCTGTTGCTGGGGTGTTAGTGAATGCCTCTGTCACATCACCAGGGCTTGTACAATTTTCACCACACTTTGCAGCTTCTGCTGTGCTTGCAGTGTACGTGAATTTTTCGGTATCTTTCACATTGCTTTCAGTGACAGTGCTTACACTAAATTTATCATGAGGATCAATGGCAGTTGTTTTGTTTGCATCTGATGTGTAAAGGGAACTTGTAACTGAATCGGTTTTAATGATATTTTCTTTCTTTTCCATGCTGGAGGATGTAACATCCTCCTCATGAGTTTTGTTATTATTTATGACATTTGGTCCTGTTACTGTGACTGTATCACTCTGTATAGGACCTTCAGTGCCATCTTCATAAACAGTCCGGTTGTATGTGTCATCACTCAGCAAATCTGGCACCTCTGAAGCAACTTTCTTTGCTGGGGATTGTTTAGTGATTGAAGCTGTTTTTTTCTCTGTATTAGTAATAGTAACTTTATCACTGAAATGAGTAGCGTCATTCTCTAAATGACTTTTATCACCAGATTCTCTGGGAAAGACTGATGGAGGTAATTCTTCACCCTGCCTGCTTGGTTTATCTTCATCAGAATCTTTAGGAAAAACACGTGGAGGTAACTCAACAGCCAGTTTACGAGCTGAATTAACTTTCTTCTCGGGAAGCAGAGACTGTGGAGTACTATCAAGGGCTGAAGCTGGGTCAATACCTGAGGAATTCAAAAAGATTAAGCTAAAGATTTTCATCACCATTTGTTTGCTATGCAGCCATATTTCATGATATATCGGAAGATGCTGTTTAATATTAGAATAAGCAGTGTTTATGAATTGATGATAAAGTTTAATAAAAGTAAAAGTGAAAGACAGAAGTGTTATTGTGCTTAATTAAGCATCACACAATGAAAGTGTGTGGGGGAGTGAAAGTATAAATCCATGAATTCCTAACCACTTATTCTCCACTTAATTGTAATGGAGGAGAGTAGTTAATGGCATGGCCCAGTAACTTTGCCTATTAGACAGGATCCTGGTTAGGCCCCAGAGTGAGTCTGGATGCAGCATCTTAAAATGTATATATTTGTACATATACAAATATAAATACTTGTATATACATATATATTACATTTATAATGCCACAATATTTATTTTAAAAGTAAACAATTTCAAATCAAAGTTTTATGATTTTAAAGTGGATCACATACTGCCTTCATCTTCAGGGTTTAAGTGTGTAAGCTGAGGAAAGTGGCTTGTTAATGTGGCAGGTTGGAAGAAAGGTTATCACTGAGACCCAGAGGAGGGATAAAGGAAATGGACCTTGATCTGGGCCAATGGGAACACTATGTAAGAAAACTACCCTTCTAAGGAGCACACAAACCTTTTTCAGAAGTGAAACAATGAGAAGGGAGAGCATTTTCCAGGACACAACAACCATTTTGGGCAGTAAATTTGAATTGCAAGAGGACAGCTTCAACCCTGAAGATGTTAACAGCTCATTTAATTCGGAAGCTGCTTGCAACACTCAGTTTGGAGTATGTTATCTTCCCCTTCTCCAATTAGAAACTTAAAAGATTAAAACATACAAGAGCATAACTATACCTATTGTTCTGTGTGAATGTGATGCATGGGCTTTCATTTTAAAGGATAAACTCAGATCTGAGATTATTTAATAACAGGGTATCAAAGTGAACATCTGTATGTAAGAAAATGGCAGTAGCAGGAGGCCAGAGAAAATTACATAATAAGGAACTTCATACATTGTATTCTCACCTGGTACTGCTAGGGTGAGCATATTAGGATGGGTGATGTAGATGAAGCATATAGCATGCATGGATAAGGCAGAAATTCTTACAAAATTTAGGTCCGAAGAATATCAAGAAGGAGCTACTTTGGATATATAGAGATAAAAGTGAGGGCACTATAAAATGGATCTTGGAGAAACAGGATTTAAAGGTGCTGAGTGGAATAAACTGGCTCAGGAGAGAGTCCAATGGTAGGCTTTTGGTTCAATAAAAGTAGGAATTTCTTGAACAGTTCAATAACTATCATGTTTTCAAAGAAGACCCTGCACCAGCTGGAACTAGTTATGTTTTAATTTTATATGGAATAAAAGAATGAATGGATTGTTTCCTCTCACCTCAGATGAAAATGCAGAGTCTGAAACCCAGGTCTGATATGAAAAAAGTATGCAGGTACACACACGTGCTCGAGGAAGCAATGTATATGTGCAAACAACATTGCAGTTTGAAGTTAGGCTGTGAGTAATGTTAAAAAATGTAAAGTTGTCCCTGTTAATTAATTAATTAATTCATTCATTCATTCATTAAGTTCCACACCTTGAGGCGTATAGGGTAGTGGAGGTACAGCTCCATCATTCTTGACCTCAGCACTAAATGGAGGTGAGCAGACAACTTCACGCCCCGGCCGCTTTACTCCAGGGAAAGTTCTCAGTACTTAATGGATACGAGGCTGGGTGGCCCCAGAGCCGATCTGGACGCTGAGGAGAAGAAAAAAATCTCCTGCCTCTGTTGGGAATCGAACCCCAGCCCGTAGTCCGTCGGTATACCAACTGAACTGTTGTTAGTTCCTATGACAAATTGTTTTTCTCCGGATTGCGAGGCCGTTATAGCATGAATGAGCCATGCTGTGCCCTTGACCAGAATTTCCGTAACAAATGAACTATACGTATATCCATCACGAGGCCATCAGTTTGAACGATTTTTATGACACTTCGCAGTAATGTGGCGATAGCCTTAGACTTCACTGTTAATTCTGCGCCACTTTCTACATCCGTGTGTAGCTACATATAGGGGTCGGCAAGATATAGGGTTAGTTCAATAATCAGACAAAATTTCTGCTCACTAGATATTTCTGCAAGACGGAAAATGTACCTATTGTCACTATGATAAGTATATTTTTCTCTAATCTTTTTTTACCTTCACCTCAACGAACAAACATGTCAGTACTGCTTTAACAGAGGCCCTCATACTCATGCGAGTTATTAATTAGTGTTCGACTGTTGCAGATAAATGAAAGCGGGACAGTATATTAATGAATAAATTCAACAGTCCAGCCGCGATTTTATGATCCCAAATCTGGCGGAAGAATGCGGCACTGTTATCTTCATTTCAACTTCAAACGCTGAAGAATTGCAGACGCAAACGTGCAACATTTAGAATATACACCAGTGTTTCTGGGGTGCAACTCAGAATGAGCCTAGCCAATGTTTCGGGGCGGGCAGCACTGATTGCTGATGCTAAGAATCATTAAATCCGGGCTGGACTGAAAGAATTTTCTACCCTTTGGACTTGAATTTGAAAAGTCGACATGGGCGAACATGCGAATATCTTTATTGAGCCCTAAGTACGGCCAAAGCTAGTCACGCTAGCCGAGCGGTCTAAGGCATGCACTGTCTTCGCTAGCTCGGACGCCGGGATTGTGGGTTCGGATCTGTTTCCTGTGAGGTACGAACTGAATTCTTATATATTATTCTTATACACTGCCGGTCACGCTAGCCGAGCGGTCTAAGGCATGCACTGTCTTCGCTAGCTCGGACGCCGGGATTGTGTGTTCGGATCTGTTTCCTGTGAGGTACGAACTGAATTCTTATATATTATTCTTATACACTGCCGGTCACGGTAGCCGAGGGGTCTAAGGCATGCACTGTCTTCGCTCGCTCGGAAGCCGGGATCGTGGGTTCGGATCTATTTCCTGTGAGGTACGAACTGAATTATTATATACGTGTATTATTCTTATACACTGCCGGTCACGGTAGCCGATCGGTCTAAGGCATGCACTGTCTTCGCTTGCTCGGAAGCCGGGATCATGGCTTGGATTCCTACATAAGGTATGGATGTTTAGTGTTTGAGTGTGTGTTTTGCTGCGTTTGTGTACAGGTAGAGGCCTTCAGAGGAGCTGATCACCCGCCCAAGGAGTCCTACCGAATGTCTAAAATCTAGTAAACCGATGTGAAACGGAGAGTTTCACGGAGGTAGGCCATGGCCCAAATTGGGGCTGTGGCGCCAAAGAAAAAAAAGTAGGCCAAAGTACATTAAATGATGGACTGCATATTTTTCGAACTTTATTTGGGTGTACGATGAATTGTTATTTGAGGTATGATGCTGTTTACTCTGGTAGAAGTTTCTGCCAGACTACAGGGAGCCAAATAATCTTCAAAATCGCCTCTGTTAGCATCTAAAATCCCATTCAACAGTATCATCTAATCCGTGATTCCAGTTTTTAATCTTCTCTGTTTTAACCCCAACTTTGTGATAAAACGTCAGTTGCAAGCATACTGGAGCATACCTAACGAATATGGTGGATAACGGAATCCGCCTAAGTGACACTAAACCACAAGGGAAAATTGCTAACAAGATGACCTGGAAACCTCTAACGATGTGTGCCCCGTTTCTGAATCTTAACATGTGTATAGACGTGGCTAGAAGAAGTTATAAATTACTAATTATGCTTTAAACTAGAGTTCAACCCCGGTGGCTTCATGTGAAATTCGTGAAGGATGGAGTGCCATTAGAACAGGATTCTTTTCCCCAGTTTTCAAGTTTCCCAGCCAATCATTATTCCTCCACTGCTCAATACTCATTTATCACCGACCCCGTCTATCATAATTACATAATTGCTCCATACTCTTTTATGGCTGCCCGCTGAGGTGTGATGTAGTCCTGATCATGCAGAACACTATCTTGTCCTTGGCCTACAAGTTGGAGACTCAGTGTCTCATCTGGTACCTGGCTGGTTGCGGAGTAAAACGTTGTCCCTGTGTTTAACTAATTAAACCCTATGCCATGAAGGCGTATGGGGGAGTTGATGTATAGATCCACATTTTCTTAACCTCGGCACTAGTTGGAGGTGAGTGGTCAGCTTCATGCCTGCTGCTTTACCCCGGCGAAAGAGCCCCCGGTACTCATTGGATAGGAGGCTGGGTAGGTCCCAGGGTCGGTCTGGACAACGTGGATAAGAGAAAATTCTTGACCCTACCGGGACTACTCCGAGCCCTCGATGTCCAGCCCGTAGCCAGTCACTATACCTACTGAGCTATCCCGGCTCTGGCTACAGAGTTAGTGATATCCATCTGCACATAATTTTCTCTATAGCTGGGAATATTTCTTTCAGTTGGTCAAGATCACCATTGTATCACCCGACCCTCAGAATCACTCAGAATGTTATTTCATTCCTCAGACACTACCTGTACTTAAGTAGGTAAGTAGGTTGGACAAGTGGAGGGGGGGGGGGTAGCCCTGCAGATCAATACTGGGAGGTGATGGAATAAACTTAAAGACCAAAAGAAATGTCCCTGGCTGTAGTTATTACGAGTAAATTTGTTACGAGTGCATTAACTTGGTCAGTTGTAAGCTGGAAATTTCACATTGTTAATATATTTATAATTTCAGCACAGCGAAACTGGGTCTCATAGAAACTGTAGTGGCTTTATATTACACATACATGGGTGAAACTGGGTCTCGCACTTTACGTGAACATGGCTGAAGATGTCTGAAAACAGGGTGTTGAGAACATTTCGATGTAAGGTGGAGGAAATTACCGAAGACTGGTTGGTCCTTCATAATTGGTCATTTTCGCTAAATTATTAGGGCAACAAGGATGATGACACTGAGCATGTATAATGAGATAGGCGACGAGAAATGCGTACAAAATTTTTGGTAAAAAAACATATGTATGATATTTAAATCTATCCTCAGGA